ACATCTCTTTGTTATCATGAGCGTGACATTTGTCAACACAGCATCTGTACATAGGTTGCATACACGTGAAAATAGGTGTAAAAATATGTACAAAAACACATTTCGTCTTATAAATATTTTCAAATAAAACAACACTTTTCTTTCTCAAGAAAACCTTACAGATTAATGTTGGCAGGTCATGTATAGAAAATATTTGCTACTCCAATATTAATAAATGTTGCCAAAGTATTTACATTTCCTCACAGGAACCTAAAATACACTGATAGATTTTCAAAGAACCAAAAATTAATGTTTTTTGCTTATTCTGCAAAACGAGTTTGGAACTTAAATGACATAGAATTTTATTCCATTTTCAGTTCAAACAGCATGATATTGTTCTGAATAGTGACAGGAAATATAAAACAGACTTAGTCAGTATTTCAAGTATTAGGAATAGTACCGAATCGAGAGAACACAAGTATCCCGCCATTATGAAATCATGTGTTCACATTAAAATTGAGAAGAAGCATTAATGTGACGGGGATGACATAATATCATTGTCAGAGTGATATGTTACGAGTGACGAGAAACCTTGTGAAGAATATTGCACATAGAGAGAGATTTAATAATACACTTTCATGAGATTTTTGTTCTCAACCCTTTCAGGAAGCTATGAATAGTATTCAATGCCTTGCCTAGGTCTTGTAGAAAGTTGTGTTTGAAAGCCATGTTGAAATGTTTCAGTTATATCATGGTGTCTTAGCTTGAAAATCCATAGCGATGCAGCTCTCAAACATTTCCAAATTTGGTGAAACCCCCAGATGGGTTTGGTGGTGACAAATCTGGGATTCGAACCCATGATGAGTTTCGGGCATGCTTTGGGACACAACTTTCAACAGCAACGCAGTACCTTGGATGACTAGGCAACCCATGATGTATATTTCCGTGTCCACAAGACAATACTTCCATTACCGTAACCGACGTAATAAGCGCCCAGGGTGCTCTCATAATTAGAAATAAGGGGCTCTTATTAGAATATTATTTAGGTGAAAAAACAGAGTTGAAAGATAAATTTTGTGGTTTATGCTGACAGCCAGAAATGTTGATATACAACAGATATATTTTTCCGGAATTTAATTACCCATAATTAAGGGTGCATATAACACACAAGTGCATATTATACGTGAATAAATAAGTCTTGTGTACATTGATCAATCGGAAGGGGTGCTAATTGGGATTGTTCACTAGCTAATATATTAGCAAATATCGCCGTGGGCGCTTATTATGTCGAATACGGTATTTGTGGAATGTCTTCAGCCACATTATAACAAGGCTTTGCTTAATGAGTAGAGACAGGCTTCGCCATCATAGCAACAAGAAGATATGTTTCAATGACACTTGGGATCCAAGAACAAAGCCAAAGCCCAAACAAGGAAAACTTTACAGTTCCAACAATGCAGTAATGCCCATAGAATCTAGGATCATCCAAGAAACATCCAAAATATTATCCTGAAACAGGAGAGGAAAAATAGTCCTATTTATATTTTTACTAAAACAAACAAGAACAAATAAATGGTGAGGCTGTGGTTCCCTTGGAGCAAGAACATTGTTGTAAAATATCAAGCTGATAATTCAGGGAGGAACAACATGGAAAGGCGCGGTTGTTAACAGCAGGTTGGGAAATCACAACAACGAACACAGGCTTCAGTGGCCTAGATGACCATTCTACCCTTTCAACAACTTGTGAGAGTATGGTTGACATGATCTAGAACTAATGAACGAGTCACAACCTTATGTAATGGTGCCAAGCGGCAAGGGGAGATAACCCTGGTGTATGTAATGGTGCCTAGCAACAAGGGGAGATAACCCTGCTGTCTGTAATGGTGACTAGCAACAAGGGGAGATAACCCTGCTGTCTGTAACGGTGCCCAGCAACAAGGGCAGATAACCCCAGTTCTGTAATGGTGCCCAGCAACAAGGGCAGATAACCCCAGTTCCGTAATGGTGCCTAGCAACAAGGGGAGATAACCCTGCTGTCTGTAACGGTGCCCAGCAACAAGGGCAGATAACCCCAGTTCTGTAATGGTGCCCAGCAACAAGGGCAGATAACCCCAGTTCCGTAATGGTGCCTAGCAACAGAGCAGATAACCTAGCTGTATTCATGGCAGCTACCAGTTATCTCTGTATGCCAACAACTGACAAGACCAACAGAATTCAAAGTCAATAGTATTCAAAGCAATGTGAAAAACAAAGATACAAAATATATGTTGGAGAACTACAACCATGGCTTCACAATGACAATACCCTTCCACACCTTGTACTTCTGAAACACATTTTCAGATGTAGACACTTGAGTTTAATCTTGGCTGCAACTACACACAAATTCGCAATACATTGTTTCGATACATCTTGATAGGACACTTTTCTTGATAGTAGGGTTTTGATAGGGCACTTTTCTCGATTACAAGGTCATGAAACAATACAAATGTCAATAGCTGGTTGGTTTGTTGTTTTACGCCGCACACAGCAATATTCCAGCTATATGACGTCAGTCTGTAAATAATCAAGTCTGGACCAGACAATCCAGTGATTGACATCCTGAGCATCGATCCACGCAATTGGGATACGATGACATGCTTCAACCAAGTCAATAGTAGGTCACAAGATGACAGAAGATGACAGAAGATACACAAATACTCATCACTCTGGAGACATTCCATCATCAAATGGAGTGAAGACCAAACCCAAACATGGTTGGTAAGTTTTTGTCAAAAAATAAGAGCTGATTCATATCGCTTCAACCTACTGACAGAAAATAGACACAGTAACCCCGATTGGCTGATTAGTAGGTCCACCTGCTGTGATCTATGGAGAGACTATCATATCGGGCTCAAAGATTTGTCATTATGAGATTGGAAGACAGTTTTTTACAAGTCATTATCAAAACATTTTACACCTCACATTCATATAAACAACACATTCTTCGATAAACCCAGTCGCCTACACCTGACTTCACTGTTATCCACCGTGCTTCTTTCTAGTCCCGTTTATGTATTGAAATCTTTTTTTTTTAGTTTGTCTGATTTTTCAAACCATGACAGGCTCAAAACATTTCAGAATAATGAGATCCCATGCTCTCAGTTGCCCCCTTATGTTTCCATGGAAACTGAACCATTACGACCTCATTTCTTCACAAGGACGTTTTAAAAATACGTCTATTAGCGCATACATATTTCTATTTAAATATGCAACTATTTTTTATGTAATTTGATAATCCTGATATGATAATTCTACACCATATACATTTTCCTACAAACAAGGACTACAGTGCTAGGATATATTACAAATACATAGAGACCAATATACAGTTTAAATTATCAAATAAATATAAGGTGTCGTCAGATCTCCATGCACCAAAAATGGAGGCACATTTGTCTGCACGCCTCAGTGAGCATTTGTTTGAGAGTAACCAAGGCAACCTATTGTCGTGAATGCATAGTTCCCGGACCAGAACCCTGTCTATAATATGCAAGGAAGCAGAAACGAGGGCAAAACACTCCGCATGTCATCAGCACACATGAACTTGACCATCAATAGAAACAGGACCCATATCCTCCTTAAATATTGATCGGAACAAATAAGGGAATTACCACAACCAGAATCCTGCACTTGGCATGATATTTCACATGTACCCTGGAGAGTGAGTGAGTGAATGGACGAGAACAGTATTACACAGCTGTAGGGAATAGTGTGGCACCGCATTGCAGGAACACAAGAACCACTGTACCCATGTGGTAATCCAATTCCGGTCTTCGGTTGAACGAGAACGGTATTACACAGCCGTAGGGAATAGTGTGGCACCGCATTGCAGGAACACAAGAACCAATGTACCCATGTCAGGAATCAAACCTGAAACCCTATCTAGTCCACCACCCAAATACCTTGCCGACATCAAGAGATTACTTGGCAATGTAGTAACACACCAGACACTATCATATACAAGAAAACTCAGTCAGGAAAAACTGCCTTCTGGACAATCTTGTCTGGACATCTGAAGAAACATAATGAGTGAGTGAGTGAGTATGGTTTTATGCCGCTTTTAGCAATATTCCAGCAATATCACGGAGGGGGACACCAGAAATGGGCTTCACACATTCTACCCATGTCGGGAATCGAACCCGGGTCTCAAACGTGACGAGCGAACGCTTTAACCACGAGGCTACCCAACCACCCCTGAAGGAATATAACTTCGTATCGATGGTTTATTAATCAGAAAATTTGGTTATCTGGATTCCCTGGGAACACGTTCATCCCTATTATTGAGTTTCATTGCAGTCATTTTCTCTGAACACAACAGTCAAACTCATTCGGACGTATTGCCATACGTTCCCTTATTTGTTTCCCTCTGCACCCAGAACCTCTGTTGGATGACATACAGCTTATCTGCTTGACCACTTGAGAGTTTACTGGACTTCTACTGATCCCTATGGGTGCACACCACTTAAACAGCCCGTGCCAAAAACTTTTGAATCTACCAGCTCGAACTTGTGTTTGGAAAATATTAGGCTGGGACGATACACCAACTTTACGATTGGATATATTTCACAATATCTTGCTCACGATTTGATAAATATCACAGTACTTGCATGTGCTGTTATCTGTTGTCCTTATGCTATATTTTTCATAGACAGGATGGCCAAACACCTGGCACACTGACGATTTACAGTCTGCAGTGTCAAGTAGGGCCCAAAGGATGAAAATATTTACCTTTTCACTGCTAGTTCTCACTACTAATAAGCGTTTGGTGTAAAAGCAAACACTGAAGGTAAGAATCAATATTTTTTACCAAGCATGTGACTGTGATGAGTGAGTGAGTGAGTGGGGTTTAACGCCGCTTTTAACAGTATTACAGTTATATCGCGGCGTGTCAGCTTAATGTGGGAGGAGAGTCCCAAGTGATGCAGGTCTTAGACGTTTACCACTTCGGTAAACCCACGAGCACGGGTATGGTGCTGACAAACCTAGAAACATAATCGGGGCGAACAGGGATTCGAACCCACAATCATAGGTTTCTGGCGTGCCAAGGGACGCAACTCTGCACAGCGAATCGCGGCGCCTTAGACGACTGGGCCACCCGTGCCCCCATCGAGAAGTAGAAGATGCTTTGGTGTATCCTCCCACCACTAGTAATTAGTTTCTTAGTATATGGACTAGTACAAGCTGCTCTTACTGGATCATAAGATATCTTACTGGACACTTGCTTCACATTAGATGCTAAACTGCCAGGCTGACTGATTGACAGTCAGCCGGTCTTCAGGCTAATGGTTAAAGGTGCACAGCAACTGAAAGTCAACGTGTCTTCAGGTTAATGGTTGTCTGTGCACATCAACTGAAAGTCAACGTGTCTTCAGGCTAATGGTTGACTGTGCACATCAACTGAAAGTCAACGTGTCTTCAGGCTAATGGTTGAGTGTGCACATCAATTGAAAGTTAACATGTCTTCAAGCTAATGGTTGAGTGTGCACATCAATTGAAAGTTAACATGTCTTCAGGCTAATGGTTGAGTGTGCACATCAATTGAAAGTTAACATGTCTTCAGGCTAATGGTTGAGTGTGCACATCAACTGAAAGTTAACATGTCTTCAGGCTAATGGTTGAGTGTGCACATCAATTGAAAGTTAACATGTCTTCAAGCTAATGGTTGGCTGTGCACATCATTTGAAAGTAAACATGTCTTCAAGCTAATGGTAGAGAGTGCACATCAATTGAAAGTTAACATGTCTTCAAGCTAATGGTTGAGTGTGCACATCAATTGAAAGTTAACATGTCTTCAGGCTAATGGTTAAAGGTGCACATCAACTGAAAGTTTTCATGTCTTCAAACTAATGGTTGACTGCACATCAATTGAAAGTTAACATGTGTTCAAGCTAATGGTTGACTCTGCACATCAATTGAAAGTTAACGTCTTCAAGCTAATGGTAGAGAGTGCACATCAATTGAAAGTTAACGTCTTCAAACTCATGGTAGAGAGTGCACATCGATTGAAAGTTAACGTCTTCAAACTAATTGTAGAGAGTGCACATCAATTGAAAGTTAACGTCTTCAAACTAATGGTTGACAGTGCACATCAATTGAAAATTAACTGTTTTCAGCATGTTCAGGCTAGTGGTTAAAGATTCAAACGAGTCTTCTTCTCCTTCTAAACTCCATTGGTCCTCTTAAGCCAGTTTTAATCTCAACTCTTAAATGCACACATCAAGTCTCCAGCTGGTGTGATGTACCACATGTTACTGCTGCTTACAGCTTCCCTTCGATTCCTTCTTGGTCGGCCGAGCCTCTTGACTCTGCCGCTTGGACTTCCGAGACTTGTCCAGCGTTGACCTCTTCTGACCTTGAACCGGTTGCCATGGATTTATGACGGGTCCCTCAGGACCTGGTTCCTCATCCATCCGACTCAAGGTGCTAACTGTGCCTGTGGACTCTGCAACACATTACCAGGATGTCACTACATGAAATGAGCAAACTATATAACCATTTAATTGCTTCATCAGTCTGATGAGAGCACCCCGCTCGAAACTAGTCACTTAGATTGCTCTTGGGTTTTAGCCCCAAACTCTCTATTATCATGTAATTTTTATGTCTTAAAGTCAGATCTTGCGCCATTGTTTAGCACCACTGTCAGTCTAAATCTAGAAGTTGTCATTACTATGTCTGTGGAAGTAGAACAGCCACGGCATTGGAGTTATGGACCTACCATTTAATATTCAGTCAGGATGTGTGGAAAGGGCTAGGTAGGATTTTTGTTACAGAACATTTTGGCTTTAAGGAGTAAAGAAAACGATTCAGGACTCTCGTGAACATCAAGAGAGGCAAAAGTGTCTTTTAAAAGAAAGCCCTGGCCTCGCTCCCAAGAAAATCAAACAGTCGGTCCATCAATTAATTGAAATACTAAGACAAACTTGCTGAGACTGTCATCTGACTTGAGCCTAGATGCCTGAAGAGTTAAAACTTTAGTTTTAAATATGAGTTGTGACAATAGATCACAGACAGTCTACTATTCTTTGATTCAATATGATGCTTTACAACTAGACAGAGAAATAAAAAGAAATCTACCAGGTACCTAGTCGTTATAATGAGTTATTGGTTATTCAAGATTGCAAAATATTAAGAATAATTTCAGAATCCCTGAAAGTAGGCCCTGAAAAAGGATACATGAAAAAATAGTTCTGTGGGTGATTACAGCAGCAAAAGCAAAAGCTTAATCTCACTCCAAGCGAGTGGTTCATTCAATGCTAAAACAACGGCAAAAACTTGTAGTAATTAGATAGTGTCCCGATCCTTACTATGTTGCTGATATCCCCACCCTTACTACCTTGACAGTGTCCCCTCCCTTACTACCTTGGCAGTGTCCCCTCCCTTACTACCTTGGCAGTGTCCCCATCCTTACTACCTTGGCAGTGTCCCCACCCTTACTACCTTGGCAGTGTCCCCACCCTTACTACCTTGGCAGTGTCCCCACCCTTACTACCTTGACAGTGTCCCCACCCTTACTACCTTGGCAGTGTCCCCACCCTTACTACCTTGGCAGTGTCCCCACCCTTACTACCTTGGCAGTGTCCCCACCCTTACTACCTTGACAGTGTCCCCATCCTTACTACCTTGGCAGTGTCCCCACCCTTACTACCTTGACAGTGTCCCCACCCTTACTACCTTGGCAGTGTCCCCACCCTTACTACCTTGACAGTGTCCCCACCCTTACTACCTTGGCAGTGTCCCCACCCTTACAACCTTGACAGTGTCCCCACCCTTACTACCTTGGTACTGTCCCCACCCTTACTACCTTGACAGTGTCCCCACCCTTACTACCTTGGCAGTGTCCCCACCCTTACTACCTTGAAAGTGTCCCCACCCTTACTACCTTGGCAGTGTCCCCACCCTTACTACCTTGACAGTGTCCCCATCCTTACTACCTTGGCAGTGTCCCCACCCTTACTACCTTGACAGTGTCCCCACCCTTACTACCTTGGCAGTGTCCCCACCCTTACTACCTTGACAGTGTCCCCACCCTTACTACCTTGGCAGTGTCCCCACCCTTACAACCTTGACAGTGTCCCCACCCTTACTACCTTGGTACTGTCCCCACCCTTACTACCTTGACAGTGTCCCCACCCTTACTATCTTGACAGTGTCCCCTCCCTTACTATCTTGACAGTGTCCCCACCCTTACTACCTTGAAAGTGTCCCCACCCTTACTACCTTGGCAGTGTCCCCACCCTTACTACCTTGACAGTGTCCCCACCCTTACTACCTTGGCAGTGTCCCCACCCTTACTACCTTGGCAGTGTCCCCACCCTTACTACCTTGACAGTGTCCCCACCCTTACTACCTTGGCAGTGTCCCCACCCTTACTACCTTGACAGTGTCCCCATCCTTACTACCTTGGCAGTGTCCCCACCCTTACTACCTTGACAGTGTCCCCACCCTTACTACCTTGGCAGTGTCCCCACCCTTACTACCTTGACAGTGTCCCCACCCTTACTACCTTGGCAGTGTCCCCACCCTTACAACCTTGACAGTGTCCCCATCCTTACTACCTTGGTACTGTCCCCACCCTTACTACCTTGACAGTGTCCCCACCCTTACTACCTTGGCAGTGTCCCCACCCTTACAACCTTGACAGTGTCCCCACCCTTACTACCTTGGTACTGTCCCCACCCTTACTACCTTGATAGTGTCCCCACCCTTACTACCTTGACAGTGTCCCCACCCTTACTACCTTGGTACTGTCCCCACCCTTACTACCTTGACAGTGTCCCCACCCTTACTACCTTGGCAGTGTCCCCACCCTTACTACCTTGACAGTGTCCCCATCCTTACTACCTTGGCAGTGTCCCCACCCTTACTACCTTGACAGTGTCCCCACCCTTACTACCTTGGCAGTGTCCCCACCCTTACTACCTTGACAGTGTCCCCACCCTTACTACCTTGGCAGTGTCCCCACCCTTACAACCTTGACAGTGTCCCAACCCTTACTACCTTGGCAGTGTCCCCACCCTTACTACCTTGATAGTGTCCCCACCCTTACTACCTTGACAGTGTCCCCACCCTTACTACTTTGGCAGTGTCCCCACCCTTACTACCTTGACTCTGTCCCCACCCTTACCACCTTGGCAGTGTCCCCATCCTTACTACATTGACAGTGTCCCAACCCTTACTACCTTGACAGTGTCCCCACCCTTACTACCTTGACAGTGTCCCCACCCTTTCTACCTTGACAGTGTCCCCACCCTTACTACCTTGACAGTGTCCCCACCCTTAGTACCTTGACAGTGTCCCCACTCTTACTACCTTGGCAGTGTCCCCACCCTTACTACCTTGACAGTGTCCCCACCTTTACTACCTTGACAGAGTCCCCACCCTTACTACCTTGACAGTGTCCCCACCCTTACTACCTTGATAGTGTCCCCACCCTTAGTACCTTGACAGTGTCCCCACCCTTACTACCTTGGCAGTGTCCCCACCCTTACTACCTTGACAGTGCCTGTTCCCTTGCTACAACACAAGGCCAATCACAAGGCATTGTACTACCTTGATAGTGTCCCATCACTGGGTTCCAGTGTCCCTTGGGCCGACGGAGACTCCCACGGAGCCCAGGATCCCACTCTAGGTCCACATCTGAGGGTGCAAGTGCAGCAGTCACCACTAGTTAGTCAAGCTATAGCACACGTGGTTAGTGCACAAAAACAAACACTCACAGGGCTCACACTAGCACAGGGACCCGTTCCACAAGCGATCATAGCGCTAAGACAATCATAACTCAAATACTTTAACATGCACTTACGGCGGTCACAGTGCTAAGATGATCGTAACTCAAATACTTTAACATACACTTACGGCAGTCATAGCGCTAAGACAATCGTAACTCAAATACTTTAACATACCCTTACGGCAGTCATAGCGCTAAGACGATCGTAACTCAAATACTTTAACATGCACTTATGGCGGTCATAGCGCTAAGATGATCGTAACTCAAATACTTTAACATACACTTACGGCAGTCATAGCGCTAAGACAATCGTAACTCAAATACTTTAACATACGCTTACGGCAGTCATAGCGCTAAGACGATCGTAACTCAAATACTTTAACATGCACTTATGGTGGTCACAGCGCTAAAACAATCATAACTCAAATACTTTAACATACACTTATGGCGGTCATAGCACTAAGACGATCGTAACTCAAATACTTTAACATACACTTACGGCCGTCATAGTCAAGTTATGTTTTACGTTGCTTTGGACAGTAGTTTAGTGACATCAGGATGTCATGTAGGGAGGAAAGCCCAATAGGTCTTAAAAGCCAGGACACATTAGATCTGTCTGACACACTAGTTGAGCCCTGGAGTGGTAAGTACAAACTGATACAATGTTAACATGTTAAAACAGCTTAAGGCCCAGTAGCTCACCTAACTAAGGTGTGTGTGTGTGTGTGTGTGTCTCTGTGTGTGTGTGTGTGTGCGTGTGCGTGTGCGTGTGCGTGTGCGTGTAGTTTAACGCAATATTTCAGCTATCTTACAGACACCCGTAAATAATCTGAACCAGACAAATCAGTGATTGACCTTATGAGCAACAGTTCATGCTGACTAGGTACGATGACACGCCATCAACCTAATCACCGTGCCTGACCAGTCAGCCACCTCTTATAGGTTGACCTCACACATGATGTAGGAGTGAATGAGTGTGTTTAACACAGTATTAACAGTATTTCAGTTATGTCATGGCCTGGCAGCTGGATGAGGAATGTGAGTGAGTATGGTTTTACGCCCCCAGCAATATCACGGCGGGGGACACTAGAAATAGGCTTCACCCACTGTACCAATAAAGGGAATCGAACCCAGGTCTTCGGTGTGACAAGCGAACGCTTTAACCACTAAGCTACCCCACTGCTCCTGATATGGAAAGAAAGCGCAAACTGACACAGGAGTTTACCACTTCAGCGGAACCCACGAGCAGGGTATGATGCTGACAAACCACGAAAAATAATCAGGGCGAACAATGATTTGTATCCATGATTATAGATTTCTGACGTGCTGAAGGGACGCAACTCTGAACAGCGAATTGCAGAGCCTTAGATGATTGGGCCATCCTTGTCCCCACATTGTCTGCTTAGAGAAATGTTCTGTGCTTAAATCAACTGGAACAACCAAGCCCTAAGAAGGAAAGAACCGATTCAATCAGTCCGGGACATTTACTGTTTTGGTAAAAAAAACCCAGAGGCAAAGCCCTTTCCATAAGGACTAACATTCCTTAAGAGTCCATTGCATCATTTTCCATTTCCATCATCTGACAGAACAAGGATCATATGTGGATGGAATCAGGTACACTAACCCCAACCTGTGGATCCTGGCACAACAAAGGTACATAACTCTCCACACATGGGAACCTCAGATTTAACATGCAGATAATGATGATGATGATGATTTTGAACATGATTTAACTTATTACACACAAGTTTTAATTCAAAGCAACTAAAATTGTTCCAAAATCGATTTAAGTAACTGTAAGATTAAGTATCCGACTTGTGTAGACCCAAAGCATGTAAATCCAGCACATGAATTCATTGTATTCTGTATGAAACATAATCTATCAATGTGGTCATTCCTGATGCAATGCTTGATAAATCAAAGGGAATTTTAAAGCAGGGTTTTACATGATGCATTATTCCTGAGTATTTGACACAATAATTTCCTGAAATACTCGCAAAAGTCTTTGATACGAATCATAAAAAAAATCTTCACAAACATCTGACTAGTTTATAGGAGTGTGGTATTTCATCTAAAGCTGTAATACATACCATCGGTCAAAGGCAGTGATCTGGAAAGCGGTATCTGTGTTTTGACTTCGGTCTGGTCGGCCACGTGGATGTCTTGTTGTCGTCTCTTGTAGGTCGGGTCAATGGCTGCGGCAATATTAAACTGTACAGGCGTGCTGACAGCATGACTGGAACCCATGGATCGATCTGGACTAAATGATCTGTGGACAAGCAGGGTGAATATGTCAGTCAAATGTGTGAACAGTTTCAAAATGCATTTAACATATAAAACAAAATTCCTTTGCTGTTGTGTCTTCAAATTTTACCTGTCAATTATTTTGGTATTCATCAAAATAGGGAGGTGAGGCAAGCATTGGATACTGGAGACCCATTCTTCCCCGATTCCCTCGGGGGGACGAACCTGGGATATTGGATGCCATCTCTGTTCCAATTCCCCAGAGGGAAAAAGGAAGGGATACTGGAGACCTTTTCTGCCCCGATTCCCCAGGGGACAAACCTGGGATATTGGAGGCCATCTCTGTTCCAATTCCCCAGGGGGAGCAGGGAAGGGATACTGTAGACCTTTTCTGCCCCGATTCCCTCGGGGGGGGGGGGGGACAAACCTGGGATATTGGATGCCATCTCTGTTCCAATTCCCCAGAGGGAAAAAGGAAGGGGTACTGGAGACCCATTCTTCCCCGATTCCCTCGGGGGGACAAACCTGGGATATTAGATGCCATCTCTGTTCCAATTCCCCAGAGGGAAAAAGGAAGGGATGCTGGAGACCCATTCTTCCCCGATTCCCTCGGGGGGGGGGACAAACCTGGGATATTGGATGCCATCTCTGTTCCAATTCCCCAGAGGGAAAAAGGAAGGGATGCTGGAGACCCATTCTTCCCCGATTCCCCAAGGGACAAACCTGGGATATTGGATGCCATCTCTGTTCCAATTCCCCAGGGGGAACAAGGAAGGGAGACCCTTTCTGCCCCGATTCCCCAGTGGGGGGGTACATAAGCAATACTCACTTGAGACCTATTCTGAACAAATTCCTCAGGGAGGGTAAGCAAGGGATTCTCAAGGCCAACTCTGCTCCAATTCCCCAGTGGGGTGGAGGACTCACACGTGCTACTGGGGTCTTTTCAGCACCAGAATCCCATGGGGACCCAAGCAAGTACTGGAAACCTTGTCTACTTCTAACCTAAAGGAAAATGAAAAAGCTTCAAAGAAACTAAGAGAAACAGACTTCAACATACAAACACTGCCACTGACCTACTGCCATCCTCGTCGCTATGGTAACTCCCCGGCGGTGAGGGTGATGGCGCCATATGCTCCTCCTGCGACACCCGTCGACCGCGTTGGTGAGAAGGCACATGGTGCGGAGACATCCCGTCCAGCCATCGCTGCATGTCTCGCGCTTGATCCACCGGCATGTCCCCCGCTGGGGGGTACCTGACTCCCGCACCCCGCTCCTCCTGGATACGCTGATGGGTCTGGTAGGAGGGGGGTTCCCGCGGGGGGAGATTGGGGGGAGCAGACGTCTGCCTGGCGACGGCTTGGTGATGGACAGATTGTGATTCCTGTGCTGGTGTGTTGCTGTTTGAGATGGAGCGTGTGTAGCTGTCGCGGCGGTACCGGTGCCCGGGCGGGGACTCGCCGTTCGCCTCCGGGGTGATAGATTCTACTGCAGCAGTCATGTTCATTCCCGACGCCATTGCTTCCTGAGCCATCTGAATAATAAAATGAATGTGTTTGGCTATTACTGTTTACAGTTAAGTGGGCATTTCGGGTTGGTTTGTTGTTTAACACCTCACTCTGAAATATTCCAGCAATAAGATGGCTGTCTGTAAATAATGAAGTCTGGACCAGACAATCAACGTCAGCAAGGGTTGCATCGTCACAAGTGGGGAATTCCATGTAAAAACAAAGATCGCCAGCAACCTATGCTTGTTGTAACCTGATGAATGCTTCTTGGGTATCTACATATCACCTGTGTCTGATGTTTGTTTGTTTGTTTGTTTGTTTGTTTGTTGTTCAAGGCTGCACTCAGCAATATTCCAACTATATGACGGCTGTCTGTAAATTACAGCGATAGAAACTAACATTTTGGTCCACTACTCCTATATAGCAAAACCCTTAAAAATGGCAAATGTCTACTGGTCCTTATGATACCTTAACCATTGGGCAGTTTGGCAAGGACTAGTGCCAGTTTCTAACCCTGATTTGATCGAATCTGGACCAGACAATCCAGTGATTGACATGAGCATTAACCATCGTAATTGGGATACGATGACATACATCAACCAGGTCAGCGAGCTTGAACACCCGATCTTGTTAGCCACCTCTTATGACAAGCATAGCCGCCTCTTAAGACAAGCATGGGTTGCTGAAGACCTATTCTAACCCGGATCTTCACAAGTCGTGTCTGATGTAGGATGGGTCTACTACCCATGGAAAGTGTGACCACGAGGTCTGTTGTTTTTCACACAGTACTTTGAGTTCACCAAATGGACTAGAACATTAACAGGTCTTCTTATTGTCTGTTTGTCTTAAAGTCGACACGTATAGATGAATACTCATCTGTCTTGCAGGGAAGATTCGGGGTCAAAATAAATGTCTGTACCAACCTAAGCTTGCCGAGAGGCGACTAAATGGATCGGGTGGTCGGGCTTGCTGACTTTGTTGACTGCATGTCATTGTATCTCAATTGCAGGGATCGATGCTCATGCAGACAATCACTGGATTGTCTGGTCTTGACTTGATTGTTTACAGAAAGCCATCACATAAACTGTAATATTGCTGTGCTAAACATCAAAGAAGGGTTTGCCCTTCAAAATGTAGGTCATATTGTAGTGTTTGTTTGTTGTTCCCTTTCAATAAGGACTAGCAATACTTAAGTTGGTTGGTTGGTTTGTTTGATGTTTAACGCCGCACTCAGCAATATTCCAGCTATATGATGGCAGTCTGTAAAATAATCGAGTCTGGACCAGACAATCCAGTGATTAACATCATGAGCATCAGTCCACGGAATTTTGATTGATGACATGTATCAACCAAGTCAGCGAGCCTGACCACCCGATCCCGTTAGTCGCCTTTTACGACAAGCATAGTCACCTTTTACGGCAAGTATGGGTTGCTGAAGACCTATTCTCCCTCGGAATCTCCACGGGTCTCATATTGTAGTGTAGGCCATGATGCAAAGAATCAAAAGATATCTTGAACAACTTTTGCAACTCATAACGTTTAAGTACTGTTGTATTAATGCTTTCCAACAATCTATTGCAACAGATAATAACCAGACGATACTGTTTTGTATCCCCATTGCGTGGATCGATGCTCATGATGTCAATCACTGGATTGTCTGGTCAAGACTCAATTATTTACAGACTGCCTTCAAATAACTGGATTATTGCTAAGTGCCGCACAATACAGTTATTTATGACTAAATGACTTCAACACGGACACAATCAGAAACTTAATCACAGATTTCCAACATGAACTGAACGAAATTTGCAGCTTTCTAGCACCACAGTGTATGTAACGAAATCTTGTGATATTTTGATTAAATTAGCCTCAGAGCTAGCTTCAGTTCCCATAACCAACCTGCTGCTGTCGCTGCTGTTCCCGTAGTTGCTGCCGCCGCTGTTTGACCTTCCTGGCCTTGAGTTTCTCCTGTTCCTGGATGACCCTGGCCAGCTGCTCGTCCTGCACCTCGATCTCCCGCAACTTGCCCCGGTCAACCTCTGCTTTCGTCCGCTGATAAAACAACAACGATATATTTAGTGAGTGAGTGAGTGAGTGAGTGAGTGAGTGAGTGAGTGAGTGAGTGAGTGAGTGAGTGAGTGAGTGAGTGAGTGAGTGAGTGAGTATGGTTTTATGACGCTTTTAGCAATATTCCAGCAATATCACCGTGGGGCACACCAGAAATGGGCTTCACACATTGTACCCATGTCGAGAATCGAACCTGGGTCTTCGGCGTGACGAGCGAACGCTTTAACCACTAGGCTACCTGACCGTCCTAAGGATATATTTACAAATCAGGGACTGACATTTGGGGAAGAAGAGGGAACCAGGGAATATTTTTGATAAAATTGTTCCAGAAAAAAATGAAATTAAATATTGCTAAGGTTTTACTTAAAATATCATTGTTTTCTGGACATGCTGAAACTCCTCATTTAGCAGAATTATTTTCTATTATTAGCCAATCAGGAAACAGTAGTGTTATTAGGCATGGACCAGTCTTCAGAAAACCATTCATGCTGTAAAAGGCGACTGTATTGGTAAGGTCGCTGACTTAGTCTAATGATGCATGTCATTGTATCTGAATTTCATGGATTGATGCTCATGATGTCAATCACTGGATTGTCTGGTCCAGAACTGATTATTTACTTACCTCTGTCATATACAGTCAAGTCTCGTTAATCCGACAATGGGCTTTATCCGACACTAATGATGGGAACAGATTAAATCAGTGCTATTTAGACCCGTTAATCCGACAGTCTCGCACTCCAACTCCAACACACCTCATTTGCAACAAATTACCGAAATAACTCATTAATCAGTCTCGTTAATCCGACACAGTTGTCAGCATACTTCGTGGTTATCTGCTCGCAAGTACACAGCCCGTGTTTTGATGCGAGACTAGTCGGCTTGTAGCTGCATATTGCAACGGATGCAGAGATAAACTTGCTCAACAATAAACAATTATTTAATGCTTTAAATAAAGAAAACAGGATTAATCACATGCTTAGATTAACTCATTCTCATTAAAATCAGATACAAGTTCTCGCTATCGGCAAGGACATCCCTTTACAGGTCACATCAGAACAACCTTTCGCGAACTATGACCGACTAATGAAATGACTAACAGGAAGTCAACGTGAGCCACTAAGAAAGCAGCTTTCTTAAGCTTTGCGGTACCAGTTTCAAACTTGCCACTTCAATTCCAGACTATCCTTTTTAAAATATTTTGAATAAGTCATACAGTCTGTAACAGTTGTTTTGTGCTAGGCTTTAGAGGTTGCATGAATAGAAAACTGATGATTCCGATAACAATGTAGTATAACAATATGAATATTTCATTTTTTATTTTTTATTATGTGTTTGTATCGTAACCTATCGTACAGTTGGGGGCGGTCGGGTAGCCTAGTGGTTAAAGCGTTCGCTCATCACGCCGAAGACCCGGGTTCAATTCCCGACATGGGTACAATGTGTGAAGCCCATTTCTGGTGTCCCCCGCCGTGATATTGCTGGAATATTGCTAAAAGCGGCGTAAAACCATACTCACTCACTCACTATCGTGTAGTTGTCCGATTTTCGATCACGAACGTTGATTCTACTTAATTTCGTTTATCCGACATACTCGTTAATCATAATAATATGCAACCAACGATGTCGGATTAACGGGACTTGACTGTAGCTGGAATACTGCTGAGTGCGACTTTAACAAACAAACAAAACAAAAACAAAACACTGTGAACACACATCCACTTAAGGGAGATAACTATGTTTGCACGATATCTCACCTTGTGTTCTTGGTCCTGGAGTAGCCGTGCAAGTTCCTGGGCAAAACAAAAAGTAAACAAACCTTATATATGAAAACAAATAACCAGTTATCAAATTCTATGTTAGAGCCAGCTAAGGGAACATATGATAATCAGGAGGGGTGCAAGGGTGCACCCCTCATTCTTTAACCATACTAATCATTAGGGCTACAACGAATACACTATGAGGTGAATACGATTCATATCACGAATATAGGGTAACGAATACGAATATTTATACACGAATACAAAAACAAGTCAGCAGTTGATGTACAATATATTATATTCAATGAAAAATAACAACATTAATTATTTGACATGGTTGGTTAATTATTAATATATTATACATTCATATACTGCATTTATCTAGGTACTAGTATCTGCTCAAATACCACAATGACCGATGACCACAATACTGTCAAATCATATATTTGAGTGTTGTCTTTAAAGAAATCTCTGCATATAATATGTTCTTATGGATATTTTTAGGTACAGTGTATGTAGATGCACATGACTGCATATTCATAAATATTCGATTCTAGTGACCACGAATAACAAATTCAATTCATGAATGGATACGGTTCGATTCTTCGAATACACGATTGAATCGTAACAGCCCTACTAATCACATTAACATATTAAAAACACTTAGCTGAATCATCTGGTGACCTGAATTTAAATATCAATTATTTGACAAGTCTTTGGCTTTCAAACATGAATTGTTTCCTCAATGAATTATCTGCATTCATACATCACTGTTTTATTAAAGTGCACCCCCCTTTAAAAAAAGCTGAGCCCTGTTTCACATAGCATTCTCAGCACTATGACAGTCGTAAGTCTAGGTTAAAATATGGGAGTTACAATCACCTTAGCGATACGAACACTGTGGAAGGGAGCCCTTTGTCTGCAGTTCACAGTTCACAGAACACAGATAAAATAACTACTTGGTTGAAAAAAGAAAATATAATTCACATTGAATACTAAATGGTCATGTGACCTGTACAAATAATTGGCAAGATATCAAAGGGCCCGAGAATCTGTATAGCTAAGAGTGAGTGAGTTAGTTCAAATTTAACGTTGCATCGGCAGGGGTAGAAATTAACATTTTTAGTCCACTAATCCTTATAATGATAACATATAGCAAAATCCTTAAAAAAAATGGCAAATTTCTACCAGTCCTTAGGATACCTTAACTATTGGGCAGTTTGGCAAGGACAACAAGACTAGTGCCAATTTCAAACGCTGTGTGGCAATATTTCAGCCATATATCTAAGAAGATAAGGGTCATTTATATATTTAGGAGTCAGTCATCACTGCTCATCAGAAGCACAGTACAAAGACAAAATTTGGACCTTTTACCAGTGACAGAATGAGTCGGACACCAGTGGTTCCACTCAGATAAGAAGCGGCCTTACCTCATCTTGGAGTTCTTGTATTGCTCGATGTTCTGCAGGGTTGACTGTCCTATCACTGGGCACTGTGTAGAAGTCGCTGAAGTCACCATCATCCTCAATACGACCTGCAGGCGTTACCCTGAAACAGAACAGTCTGGTATTGACGTCTGCCTGTCTGCCAGCACTGGTCTCAGATGGTCAGACAGAACACTATCAACACAGGGCCTTCATCAGCTGGTCAGACAGTACACCATCAATACAGGGCCTTCATCAGCGGGTCAGACAGTACACTATCAACACAGGGCCTTCATCAGCTGGTCAGACAGAACACTATTAACACAGGGCCTTCATCAGCTGGACAGACAGAACACTATTAACACAGGGCCTTCATCAGCGGGTCAGACAGAACACTATTAACACAGGGCCTTCATCAGCGGGTCAGACAGTACACTATCAACACAGGGCCTTCATCAGCGGGTCAGACAGTACACTATCAACACAGGGCCTTCATCAGCTGGTCAGACAGAACACTATTAACACAGGGCCTTCATCAGCGGGTCAGACAGAACACTATTAACACAGGGCCTTCATCAGCGGGTCAGACAGAACACTATTAACACAAGGCCTTCATCAGCGGGTCAGACAGAACACTATTAACACAGGGCCTTCATCAGCGGGTCAGACAGAACACTATTAACACAGGGCCTTCATCAGCGGGTCAGACAGTACACTATCAACACAGGGCCTTCATCAGCGGGTCAGACAGAACACTATTAACACAGGGCCTTCATCAGCGGGTCAGACAGAACACTATTAACACAGGGCCTTCATCAGCTGGTCAGACAGAACACTATTAACACAGGGCCTTCATCAGCGGGTCAGACAGAACACTATTAACACAGGGCCTTCATCAGCGGGTCAGACAGAACACTACTAACACAGGGCCTTCATCAGCGGGTCAGACAGTACACTATCAACACAGGGCCTTCATCAGCGGGTCAGACAGAACACTATTAACACAGGGCCTTCATCAGTGGGTCAGACAGAACACTATTAACACAGGGCCTTCATCAGATGGTCAGACAGAACACCATCAACACAGGGCCTTCATCAGATGGTCAGACAGAACACTATCAACACAGGGCCTTCATCAGATGGTCAGACAGAACACTATCAACACAGGGCCTTCATCAGATGTATTGACGTCTGCCTGTCTGCCGGCACTGGTCACAGTTCGTCAGACAGAACACTATCAACACAGGGCCTTCATCAGATGTATTGACGTCTGCCAGCACTGGTCACAGTTGGTCAGACAGAACACTATCAACACAGGGCCTTCATCAGATGGTCAGACAGAACACTATCAACACAGGGCCTTCATCAGCTGTATTGATGTCTGCCTGTCTGCCAACATAGGATTTGTGACAACAACTTTGACATTTTCAGAACAAAGTGTATGAAGAAGTCTTTCATGACTGATGATGTTTTCTGTCAACTGTCAATGGTACATTAAAATGTCTGACAAATTGGTTGGATATGTTATTGCAAATAAATAAATGGATTCATAAAGACTGACAAATGAAGGAATGATTTGAATATAAGAGATGACCAATTACTTCTTCAAGTCCTAAGATGATTGCCATAAGATAAAAAAATGAAAATAATATTAAATGAAAAAGGATCGCACGTTATTTCATTTGAGGCATTCTCACAACAGAAATCTTCGAAATCCAGGTGTGTAAGATCTGCTACTCACACCACATCTCATCCTTACAAAAGATTAACATAACAAGTACCAGAAAATATGCACTTGGTTCCCCAGTATGAGCAAGAGGTACATTTACCGTAACTAAGTCATCGGAAATTGAATCAGAGTGAGTGAGTGAGTTGGGTTTAACGCCGCTTTTAACAGTGTTACAGTTATATCGCGGCATGTCAGCTTAATGTGGGAGGAAAGCCCGAAGTGATGCAGGTCTCAGACGTTTACCACTTCGGTGAAACCCACCAGCATGGGTATGGTGCTGACAAACCTAGAAACATAATCGGGGCGAACTGGGATTCAAACCCACAATCATAGGTTTCTGGCGTGCCCGAGTGACGCAACTCTGCACAGCGAATTGCGGCGCCTTAGACGACTGGGCCACCCGTGCCCCCAAATTAAATCAGAAGCAAATAGCATTGTCACAATGGTTTAGAAGAATCAAATGGTTAGAAGAATCAAATGGTTTAGTTTTCAAGGTGATTTTAATTCAAAGGCATGCACAACCATGTTAAACATGTTAGACGACAAACGACATATAAAAAAAATTTGTATATGAAAGTTCTTCCTGAAAAAAGGCTTTCCATCATAATTTTTTTTAAAAATAGTTCTATTTATAAGTTTCCATAACCTAAATAAACATAAATAAATAAATCAAGATTTATAAAAAATATTTCAATAAAAAGAAATACAAAAAATAAAGATTTATACAAATTTAAGAAATGTATCAATATTCAAATATATATATTTCAATTGAATACTTGTACTTCTCATTTTATATACTGCATTAACATTATAAATATTTGCTAACTCAACATAAATAGTTAGTATGCGTGAGTTGGATGAACATGGATCATAATCTGGACCAACCTGCAGATCCTGTTCACAAAGGGACACAACTCTGCACACAGTGAGGTCTAAGACCTCCACCATGCCCCAGTAGTTAGTATGGGATGAACAATGAAGGAACTAAGACTAGTTCTACATCTACAAGCAGTGCACAACCAGACAGGGGACTCAACACACAGGCACACTGACTGACTCACACCAGACAGGGGACTCGACACAAAGGCTCACTGACTGACTCACACCAGACAGGGGACTCGACACAAAGGCTCACTGACTGACTCACTCACACCAGACAGGGGACTCGACACACAGGCACACTGACTGACTCACTCACACCAGACAGGGACTCGACACACAGGCACACTGACTGACTCACTCACACCAGACAGGGGACTCGACACACAGGCACACTGACTGACTCACTCACACTCACTCACACCAGACAGGGGACTCGACACACAGGCTCACTGACTGACTCACTCACACCAGACAGGGGACTTGACACACAGGCACACTGACTGACTCACTCACACACTCACTCACACCAGACAGAGGACTTGACACCCGACTCACTCACTGACTCACATCAGACAGGGGACTCGACACAGGCTCACTCACTCACTCACACACTCACACCAGACAGGGGACTCGACACACAGGCTCACTGACTCACTCACACACTCACTCACTCACACCAGACAGGGGACTCGACACACAGGCTCACTGACTGACTCACTGACACACTGACTCACTCACACACTCACACCAGACAGGAGACTCGACACCCGACTCACTCACTGACTCACACACTCACACCAGACAGGGGACTCGACACAGGCTCACTCACTCACTCACACACTCACACCAGACAGGGGACTCGACACAGGCTCACTGACTCACTCACACACTCACACCAGACAGGGGACTCGACACAGGCTCACTGACTGACTCACACACTCACACCAGACAGGGGACTCGACACAGGCTCACTGACTCACTCACTCACACCAGACAGGGGACTCGACACACAGGCTCACTCACTCACACACTCACACCAGACAGGGGACTCGACACAGGCTCACTGACTCACTCACACACTCACACCAGACAGGGGACTCGACACAGGCTCACTCACTCACTGACTCACACCAGACAGGGGACTCGACACAGGCTCACTGACTGACTCACACACTCACACCAGACAGGGGACTCGACACAGGCTCACTCACTCACTCACTCACTCACACCAGACAGGGGACTTGACACACAGGCTCACTCACTCACTGACTCACACCAGACAGGGGACTCGACACAGGCTCACTGACTGACTCACACACTCACACCAGACAGGGGACTCGACACAGGCTCACTCACTCACTCACTCACTCACACCAGACAGGGGACTTGACACACAGGCTCACTCACTCACTGACTCACACCAGACAGGTGACTCGACACAGGCTCACTGACTCACTCACACACTCCTTCACTCACGCCAGACGGGACTCGACACACAGGCTCACTGACTGACTCACTGACACACTCCTTCACTCACGCCAGACAGGGGACTCGACACACAGACTCGCTCATTCACTCACTCACTCACTCACATATCTGGTGTAAGTAAACATGGCAGAATACAGTATTGACTGCTCTTCTGAAAACTATTTCCATATGGTGTTTATTGAGTAGCAGGGCATAACAGCTGGGTAAACACATGTATTGATGTCCACCACGTCTGGAGTGAACGCTACAAAGCAAAATGAAATGAAACTAAAAATTATTAAGTTCAAATCTGTTATTAATCACAGTGACTGACCATGGACCACTCAAGGTTAGGCTAAAAAAACCCACATAATCTTGGTTCTCAGGCACTGCCCGCATCATTATAAAGTTTGCTGCATGAACACCCCCACCCCCCCCAAAAAAAACACACAAAAAAAACACCGCCCACCTGAACTATATTTTCAAAAGCCATTGCCTGAGAACCAATTATGTGTTTCTTTGTAAGCCGTCTAATCTCTACCAAATGTTATAACATTAGGGAAACACAGGAAAGATGCTGACAGAAGTTCTCTGTTAATTGAATAACAAACAAAAAACAATTCCTCTTTGGAGAAAACGATATACATAAACATACCTCAACGTGTATTTCCTGAACTTATTTTCACCAAAGCCAAGAAAATGTATGATGAGCGAAAAGTATCCAGTAATAATGCACATGTTTCGGAATTTATCGTTACTGATGTAAATACGTTTTTGTGTGTCACACTTGTCTAATGTGCCTTATTCATCATTTGAAAAAAGGGCATTAGCAAGATGAGATAATTACAATGTGTATTGAACTTCTGATCATGGCAACACGTAGAAGCTGAGGTAGTTGCCTTTTTTTTTTTTCACAGATCAATAAAAACATATCTAGCAGGTCTAAAACATCAGGATAAAGAATAAAAGAAGTTGCTTTCCATAAAAAAGTGTCATGTATTCATAACATATCCAAATCATATAATTGGCATAAATTAAAATCCAAAATGAATAGTTAACCAGAACCAAAATTAAGAAAACCCAGCCCATCCCAGAAAAAACAAGAGAACTCTGTCAGGGTTAGTAAGAGCAAAGCACTACTACCTTCGTTTATACCTAGAATGTCCATTAGCAGTTGTCCCCCTTTGACCACCGCCGAGATTCATGTCTTCAACAGCTGAGCCGAGTTGGCGCAAGCTCCCTGAAACATCATACAAACAATCAGCTCAAATCTCGGCATCACGGGAACTCTAAAATACTCTCAAATTCAGTAAAATGACGGAATGAATATCAACACTTAAAGAATTCACTGGCAGTGCAGTGGGACTTTATACCATTTGTAAACCTATTGAAATACTACTACAACTACCAGTAATAATAATGGAAAATTAAAAAAAATAATTGATGTATAAAATGCCTAATATCTAACGTGTGCTGCTACCACTACCACTACTGCTACTGTTATTACTACTACTACTACTACTAATAATAATAATATTAATGGAAAAATAAAAAAATAATTGATGTATAAAATGCCTAATATCTGCTGCTCAGTTTCGATGTTACATATTACTGACAAAGTAGGCACAATTTATGGATAACAACTTCTTTAATACTGTAAAGGCGACGACATGTCGCCTTTACAGTATTAAAGAAGTTGTTATCCATAAATTGTGTCTACTTTGTCATCTGTCAACTTCTAAGTAATGCCTATCAAACAAGTTATTATTTCCTCAATTATGGATCAGTGTGCACTTCATATTTATTCTGGGCGTATACAACCCAAGCTAACTGTGAGGTGCTAGAAAGTTCACAGCCACATCACCATCTCATCCTACCGGGTACCCATTCACTGGGATGAACAGGGGCATATTACAAACAAAGTCACTTGCCTAAGATGACACAATGTGTTAGATGTTCAGTGTGAGGCAAGACAGACGCCCTTGAAACTCTCAGGGGTCAAGCTGATGAACACGGTTAACCGTCCAGCTACCAACGTTGGTAAACTTTACTTGATTGTGACCACGCGCATAGTATTTAACGTTAATGTGAGAGGAAAGCCCTATGTCATGCACATTGTAGACATCAACTATTTTGGCGAGTACGCCTACGGTGCTGACAAACCAAGAATCATCATCAGGGCGAATCTAGGCTTCGACCCACAATCACAGGATTCTGGTTTACTGAGGGGATGTAACTCTGAACAGTGAATGGTGGCCTTAAATTACTGGGCTATCTGCGCCCCATCTGGTATGAATCATAATCATCGGATACTGGCACGGCTAGGGATGTAACTCTGAGCAGTGAATGGTAGCCTTAGACTACTGGGCTATCAGCGCCCCATCTGGTACGAATCATAATCAACGATACTATCATGCCAAAGGGATGTAACTCTTAACAGCAAATGGTGATCTTAGGCTGCGGGGATACCAGTGCCTCCTCTGGTACGAAGCATAATTATCGGATACTGGCACGCTTAAGGGACACAACTCTTCATAATGAATGGTAGCCTTAGATTACTGGGCTACCCTTCCCCCCTTCTACCCAGAACTCCACCACTGTCACTGACCCCCATCGGCAGCGATGACGAGCCGCGCCTCCTCCGTATGCTGCGCCAGCTGCCGCTCCAGCTTCTCCCGCTGCTTCTGGAGCTGCTTCTCCTTCTTCTTCTCCAAATACTTCTCGTATTTCTTCTTCTCTCTCTCCTGAATCTGTCTTGCGATTTCCTGTAATGCAAGAGTATCATCAGTCACCATACCTATCATTATGTATGGCTCCGGGGGGGGGGGGTGTGTGAGTGAGTGAGTGAGTGAGTGAGTGAGTGAGTGAGTGAGTGAGTGAGTGTTGTTTGACGCCGCTCTCAGCAATATTACAGCTATATGACAGCGGTCTGTAAATAATCGAGTCTGGACCAGACAATCCAGTGATTGACGTCATGAGCATCGATCCACTGGCGCAAGTCTGTGTCCAGTATCACAGATTCAACAATCATATTGCTACAATCACTAAGTGAAATGAGGCTGACAAACCAGTGGTCAATAATGACAGCACCATCACAGCAGGGTTTGATGTCTCATCATTGTCAAGTTTGTTTGCTGTTTAACGCAGCTCTCAGCAATATTCCAGCTTTATGACAGTGGTCTGTAAATAACCGAGTCTGGACCAGACAATCCAGTGATTGACGTCATGAGCATCGATCCACGCAATTGGGATACGATGACATGGGTCCATCAAGTCAGCGAGGCTGATCACCCGATCCGGTTTTACTACACATTTAGCATGGTTCAAGCCCTGTCATGGCAACTTCACACATTGTAACCATGTGGAGAATCAAACCAGGGTCTTGTCAGCTTTAACCATTTGCCTAGCCTCAGCACCTGAGATGGTCTGCCAAAATGTTTTGAACACATCTGGGCTTCAAAAATCTATATAAAGCTCTGAAACAGTGTGCAGAGTGTCAAACAGCAAGGGATTTCTTAAAAATAGCTGTTTTTCTGTAATATTCAAATTAGGATTCACTAATAGAAATTACTCAAAAGTGTACCACAAAAAATATTATTGCATAATCTCTGCATACATATTACAATCTCGTTAAAATCAGATCTTTTACCCTGGTGAGATACCACCCTGTCAAGGTGGGGAACAAACCTCCGTATCTCCATACCTTATCAGGAACTGATGCCATCTTGTAGCAGGCCTCTCTTACATACCCTCACAGGACAGAGAGGTGTGGGATACGGCCCATATATCACTGTCCACATCAAGGTCAAGTTAGGCCCTGAGAGCTGGGATTGGTCTTTGAAGCTGACAAGTCTGACTGACCTGGTCTGTACAACTGTCATATCATTCAGCTTCTAGAAATGTTTCACATGTCAAATGCGTAACACACCACTTGTGATCCTACCCGTAACTCCGTATCTGTAGAGCCCTCATTTCCCCTTCATAACACTCACTCCACATTAGCCCCTATCTTCACACAGCTGAGTTCACCCCTTCCTTCATCTTCCCCAGGCAAGAGAGTTGACTGACTATGAAAGTCCAGTTTCCACCCTTGCCAAACTAGGCTGGTATTATGGCTGGACTAACAAGTCTATGCATAGTCCAATCAAAATCGCGCACCGAAATCGAAATCTGGTTCGTAAACTGTTGTGCAGCCTCTTTAAGGATGATGATAAAACTTTGAAGCTTTAAAAATATTTACCCGTATTTTCATAATGATGACTCCATCAATAGAATCCGACCTTGGCAATGTCGGATGTATGCACAGGTGGGTATTTCCCGCATATTCTCACAATCCTCATGTTGATTATCTGTATCTTTGCTCTCATCACTGATTGTCATATCTCTCCCGCTTTTCGAATCAATTTTTTGGTAATTGCGTTTATCTAACGTTTTGAGCAATTGAGTTTTTACTCTAGGGTTTCTATTCTAATTGGGTTGTTACATTTTTCATTGGGTAACCAATATTTTTTCACTCATCTATTTATCACTCTATTGGGTTTTTCCGAAAATTAGAGAACATTTTAAGATAGAAAAAAATGAAATAATGTTTTAGATGTATATATCTGTTCTACATATATAGGCTTGACTCGGAAAGTTAATTAGCTCGTAATTGTGTTTTGGAAATTAGCTCTTTTGTACGCATGCTGAAAAAGCTTCATTGGGTATTTACGCGTGCTGTATTTATTGTATGAGTTTTTCATTTAATGCACGTGTTTCTGTATGCGAGTTAATTGAAAATAATTGGGTTTTTAATATTTTTTGGGGGTATTTTATGCAAATACGCAGCTGATCTGCAGTTCTTAGTACACTACATCAAAACGATCTTGAAGCTTGGATATTGAATTTTCCAGGCTTGCACATGCACAGAGGGCAACGGAAGAAAGATGCTATTACTTGCACAACTAATTATGGATAGTTGATGGTGAAGAGACGTCTGTTGAAAATCTGAAGTGTCATGGCAAGCCCTATTGCAGGAATATTTCACTGAAGTAACAGATGTCGAGTTTTTACAAGAATAAGGGGTAATGTTGCTGCCTTTCACTGAATAGTTTTGGAATAATCACATTTCATTGCAATCAAAAAGGATGATGAAGCAGGTGGGGTCTAAAGCTCACCTGGTCCTCCACTTCACGCATCTTCTGTCTCTGAAGGTCCTCCACCTCCAGCTGCACCTTCATCCGCTGTGCCACCTTCTCATCCTCCTCCGCTCTGCAACATGACCACCTCATGTTGACTTCTTGATACAGCACAGATAATTAACCAATGTCACAGACTTCACTTATGTTCACAAATGTCAGTACTCACTGAGCACTGAGAGCAGGCAACATTGTGTTAAGGTGTTGGTGAATGTCGGTACTCACTGAGCACTGAGAGCAGGCAACATTGTGTTAAGGTGTTGGTGAATGTCGGTACTCACTGAGCATTGAGAGATGGCAACATTGTGTTAAGGTGTTGGTGAATGTCGGTACTCACTGAGCATTGAGAGATGGCAACATTGTGTTAAGGTGTTGGTGAATGTTGGTACTCACTGAGCACTGAGAGCAGGCAACATTGTGTTAAGGTGTTGGTGAATGTCGGTACTCACTGAGCATTGAGAGATGGCAACAATGTGTTAAGGTGTTGGCGAATGTCGGTACTCACTGAGCATTGAGAGATGGCAACATGGTGTTAAGAGTGTTGGCGAATGTCGGTACTCACTGAGCATTGAAAGATGGCAACATTGTGTTAAGGTTTTGGTGAATGTCGGTACTCACTGAGTATTGAGAGCTCTGAACATTGTGTTAAGGTGTTGGTGAATGTCGGTGCTCACTGAGCATTGAGAGATTGCAACATTGTGTTAAGGTGTTGGTGAATGTCGGTACTCACTGAGCATTGAGAGATGGCAACAATGTGTTAAGGTGTTGGCGAATGTCGGTACTCACTGAGCATTGAGAGATGGCAACATGGTGTTAAGAGTGTTGGCGAATGTCGGTACTCACTAAGCATTGAGAGATGGCAACATTGTGTTAAGGTTTTGGTGAATGTCGGTACTCACTGAGCATTGAGAGATGGCAACATTGTGTTAAGGTGTTGGTGAATGTCGGTGCTCACTGAGCATTGAGAGATGGCAACATTGTGTTAAGGTGTTGGCGAATGTCGGTACTCACTGAGCATTGAGAGATGGCAACATGGTGTTAAGAGTGTTGGCGAATGTCGGTACTCACTGAGCATTGAGAGATGGCAACATTGTGTTAAGGTTTTGGTGAATGTCGGTACTCACTGAGTATTGAGAGCTCTGAACATTGTGTTAAGGTGTTGGTGAATGTCGGTGCTCACTGAGCATTGAGAGATGGCAACATTGTGTTAAGGTGTTGGTGAATGTCGGTGCTCACTGAGCATTGAGAGACTGCAACATTGTGTTAAGGTGTTGGTGAATGTCGGTACTCACTGAGCACTGAGAGCCGGCAACACTGTGTTAAGGTGTTGGTGAATGTCGGTACTCACTGAGCATTGAGAGATGGCAACATTGTGTTAAGGTGTTGGTGAATGTCGGTACTCACTGAGCATTGAGAGCCTGCAGCTGCTGGTAGCGGTTTTCCTGCATCTGCTTCTCCTCCTCACTCTGCACAACCTTCGCCACTGGAATGTCTTCTCTCACCGTTCGCCGGTTCTTCCGATTCAACCCATAGTGGAAGTCAACTACAAGACACAGGTCGTATCATGTGAGACACAAAATCATTTTCATACTGTAGGCAAAACAATCCCTTAATGCTTGCCAAAAAACAAGTCATGACCTGCAGGTTGTGAGTTCTAATTCCCCCCCCACACACACAATGTGTTTTTTAGTATGAAACGAGTTCACTCTTCCATGCATCAGTGCATCTGTCCATCCACACAAGATATCGTTTCCGGAGCAGACCTTATAATATTTCTTGACCAAACTTGGCAAATACATAGGCCCAGTAGTAAACTGGTGCCTTTTGACAGTTTGGGATGTTTTCAGTATTTTCTTTTGACATGCAATCAACATAACAAACTGATGTACTGATGACACGCATTTACCAATGCGGGCATATCAATAACTCTGTCCTCTTGTTTTATCTGAAGATACCTCTAAATAACGTTAGATTGCAGGAGGAGAGTGATGGACGAATGTCTTGTCTCTGAACTACCACACCTACAGCCTCGTCACTGTGAACTACTGAGTGAGTGAGTTTGGTTCTACGCCGCTTTTAGCAATATTCCATCAAAATCACAATGGGGGACACAAGAAATAGGCTTCACATATTGTACCCCTGTGGGGAATCGAACCCAGGTCTTCGGCATGATGAGCAAACGCTTTAACCACGAGGCTACCCCACTGTCCTAATCATTGTAAATTACTGAGCCATCAGATAACTACCGACTTTGTGGTGTGGTGGATAGGGGGTCTGCCTCAAGAACAGATCTCTGGCTACTTCACACCAAACCATGTTAAGCGGTTGTTAATGTTATTGTTGGTGTTCAGCATTAAGGTTATAAAACAAGGACTAATCGGTTTCCAGTTTGGACCAATTGGGGTATCCATGTTTTATTGTGGCATGGTATCCATGTTAAACTGTGCCATGGTATCTCTGTGCGCAAAGTTTAGACAAAGGGCATTAGTCCCAATTTGCATGTGTGCCCACTCATTCACATATCGACGTGCAAGCACGCACACATGCTCGCACCTGCATATATATCACTTTATAAGTGCAATAATCTTGAACGCAACGTTAACCCGAATCACTCACCTCTGAGACAAGGTGATCGTAGCACTAAGACTGGCGCAAGTCAGTGTCCAGTATCACAGATTCAACAATCATATTGCTACCAACACTAAGTGAAATGAGGCTGACAAACCAGTGGTCAATGGTGACAGCACCATCACAGCTGTGTGGGTTTGATGTCTCATTATTGCAAAGATGTTTACTGTTTAACACCGCCCTCAGCAATATTCCAGCTATATGATGGCAGTGTGTAAATAATTGAGTCTGGACCAGACAATCCAGTGATTGACATCATGAGCATCAATCCACGTCACTGGGATACTATGACATGCATCAACCAAGTCAGGGAGCCTGACCACCCGATCCCGTTAGTCGCCTCTTACGACAAGCATTGTCGCCTTTTACGGCAAGTATTGGTTGCTGAAGGCCTATTTTACCCCGTATCTTCACGGGTCAATGATGATGATGATGATGATGATGATGATTAACAAACAGTTAAATGTCTGATTTTGTTTGTTTGTTTGTTGTTTAACGCTGCACTCAACAGTATTCCAGCTATATGATGGCAGTCTGTAAATAATTGAGTTTCGACCAGACAATCCAGTGATTAACATCATGAGCATCATGAGAATACTATGACATGCATTCAGCAAGTCAGTGAGCCTACCACGGTAAGAGTTGGGCTCCCTCAGTGTCACCTCGTCCTAACAGTAATAACTCTTCATGCTCTCTAAGCAATAGTAGGAGTTTCAGCAATCAGTCTTGGATGGTCACAGATATCAACCTCTGCAGCCACTGTGTCCAACCAATCCCATGACACGCATTGGTTACATCCTTGTATTACATGTCATGCACATATGTTGCCATAGTAACAGCTAGAAGTGAGCCACTTACACTCCTCGTTCTGCATCTGGTACGCCGTCACGCCATCTTCATGGACCAGCCACTGGCGGCACACTGAAACATACAAGGGACATAACAATGTACTTGCCGTCTCATGTACCCGGAAACATTGACCTATACACATGAGGGTGGGGGGGGGTAATAACACACTTGGTGTGTGATATGATGCTTATCACCCGGAAACATAGACCTATACACATGAGGGTGGGGGTAATAACACACTTGGTGTGTGATATGATACTTACCACCCGGAAACATAGACCTATACACATGAGGGTGGGGGTAACAGCTCACTTGGTGTGTGATATGATACTTACCACCCGGAAACATAGACCTATACACATGAGGGTGGGGGTAACAGCTCACTTGGTGTGTGATATGATACTTATCACCCGGAAACATAGACCTATACACATGAGGGTGGGGGTAACAGCTCACTTGAGTTGTAATAACACTTGGTGTGTGATATGATACTTATCACCTGGAAACATAGACCTATACACATGAGGGTGGGGGTAACAGCTCACTTGGTGTGTGATATGATACTTACCACCCGGAAACATAGACCTATACACATGAGGGTGGGGGTAACAGCTCACTTGGTGTGTGATATGATACTTATCACCCGGAAACATAGACCTATACACATGAGGGTGGGGGTAACAGCTCACTTGAGTTGTAATAACACTTGGTGTGTGATATGATACTTATCACCTGGAAACATAGACCTATACACATGAGGGTGGGGGTAACAGCTCACTTGGTGTGTGATATGATACTTATCACCCGGAAACATAGACCTATACACATGAGGGTGGGGGTAACAGCTCACTTGGTGTGTGATATGATACTTATCACCCGGAAACATAGACCTATACACATGAGGGTGGAGGGGGGGGTAATAACACACTTGGTGTGTGATATGATACTTATCACCCGGAAACATAGACCTATACACATGCGGGTGGAGGGGGGGGTAACAGCTCACTTGGTGTGTGATATGATACTTATCACCTGGAAACATAGACCTATACACATGCGGGTGGGGGTAACAGCTCACTTGGTGTGTGATATGATACTTATCACCCGGAAACATAGACCTATACACATGCGGGTGGAGGGGGGGGTAACAGCTCACTTGGTGTGTGATATGATACTTATCACCTGGAAACATAGACCTATACACATGCGGGTGGAGGGGGGGGTAACAGCTCACTTGGTGTGTGATATGATACTTATCACCCGGAAACATAGACCTATACACATGAGGGTGGGGGTAACAGCTCACTTGAGTTGTAATAACACTTGGTGTGTGATATGATACTTATCACCTGGAAACATAGACCTATACACATGAGGGTGGGGGTAACAGCTCACTTGGTGTGTGATATGATACTTATCACCCGGAAACATAGACCTATACACATGAGGGTGGGGGTAACAGCTCACTTGGTGTGTGATATGATACTTATCACCCGGAAACATAGACCTATACACATGCGGGTGGGGGTAACAGCTCACTTGGTGTGTGATATGATACTTATCACCCGGAAACATAGACCTATACACATGCGGGTGGAGGGGGGGGTAACAGCTCACTTGGTGTGTGATATGATACTTATCACCTGGAAACATAGACCTATACACATGCGGGTGGAGGGGGGGGTAACAGCTCACTTGGTGTGTGATATGATACTTATCACCCGGAAACATAGACCTATACACATGAGGGTGGGGGTAACAGCTCACTTGAGTTGTAATAACACTTGGTGTGTGATATGATACTTATCACCTGGAAACATAGACCTATACACATGAGGGTGGGGGTAACAGCTCACTTGGTGTGTGATATGATACTTATCACCCGGAAACATAGACCTATACACATGAGGGTGGGGATAACAGCTCACTTGGTGTGTGATATGATACTTATCACCCGGAAACATAGACCTATACACATGCGGGTGGAGGGGGGGGTAATAACACACTTGGTGTGTGATATGATACTTATCACCCGGAAACATAGACCTATACACATGCGGGTGGAGGGGGGGGTAATAACACACTTGGTGTGTGATATGATACTTATCACCCGGAAACATAGACCTATACACATGCGGGTGGAGGGGGGGGTAATAACACACTTGGTGTGTGATATGATACTTATCACCCGGAAACATAGACCTATACACATGCGGGTGGAGGGGGGGGTAACAGCTCACTTGGTGTGTGATATGATACTTATCACCCGGAAACATAGACCTATACACATGCGGGTGGAGGGGGGGGTAACAGCTCACTTGGTGTGTGATATGATACTTATCACCTGGAAACATAGACCTATACACATGAGGGTGGGGGTAACAGCTCACTTGGTGTGTGATATGATACTTATCACCCGGAAACATAGACCTATACACATGCGGGTGGGGGTAACAGCTCACTTGAGGTGTAATAATATACTTGGCATGTGATATGATACTTATCACCTGGAAACATAGACCTATACACAAGCGGGTGGGTGGTGGGTAACAGCTCACTTGAGGTGTAGTAATACACTTAGTGTGTGATATGATACTTTTCACCTGGAAACATACATGTTCATTGTTTGTTGTTTAATGCCACGCTCAGCAATATTCCAGCAATATGACGGCGGTCTGTAAATAATCGAGTCCGGACCAGACAATCCAATGATTGATATCATGAGCATCGATCCACCCATTGGGATACGATGACATACATCAACCAAGTCAGCGAGGTTGACCCCTGATCCCGTTTGTCGCCTCTTACAACAAGCATAGTCGCCTTTTACGGCAAGAATGGGTTGCTGAAGACCTATTCTACTCCGAATCTTCACGGGTCACATACATGTACACACATGAAGGGTGTAACAATACACTTGGCATGTGAAATTATACCTGTCATGGCAACCACCTAATCCTCGATTTAGTCGGCTCTTACCAGCATTGGTTACCACGGTGACTGGTCAGAGAGTAACGCAGTGAACATCCTAGATGTTATAGATCCAAACACTTCACCCAACGTCATGGTCAAGGTCGAATTATACCTTATGGTAGGCTATACCATACATTCTATTTAATACAAAGGCTGTATGTACCTTTCCTTTCAATACAGGCTATACTGTTATTGCTTGTAATGATTTATGCCAACGCTTGACACAAACAATGTACAACTGCAGGAAACGCCCTCCTGCTGCACGCAAAGTCACTCAGTCAGCACAAACGGCTAAAATCTATTTCAGCTGTTTAAAATTGAATTGGCAAATCGAACATATCTATACTACTACAAATTAAACAAAAAAAACCAGCATTATCACTATCCCCCGCCATGGTCCACATGAGAATATTGCCTGTTCATATACAATGATGTAGTCGTGAATATAAACTACAATAAGCCTTAAAAAGAGATAGGCACTAGAGTGGCTTTGTATCATCAGAAAAAATTATACTTGTGAAATAAATAGACACAAAATGCCCCTTTTCTGGAAAAAACAATTTATGGCACCAGTTCTCTTAGATAAGCATGCAAACTTTTATTCATGTAGCGTCATGTTTCTGTGAAAACTTGTCCCCATTTCACGCAGTATGAAAAGCATTGAGCAAGGGCCATAACTCTTTATTTAAAACATCAGTTTCCGAACAAATATAAGATCAAGAATATCAGTGTGTAAAGTTTTATTTCTCTGACTTAAATAGTTTGTGAGAAAATTTGTCCCCTTTGAGAAGCGAGCAGAGGGACAGATAATAACACCCACGAATGAAAGGCAGTGTGTTGCAATGCCCAACAAGCATGACAGCTTACCTATAGTCATATGAAAAATAACTGTGCTCTTTAACTTCTTTTGAGTAGTATATTTGAGAAAGCAATATCTTCTTTCTAACTGGACACTTTTCATGATGAACATGGTTAACATTTATACTAAGTTATCCTATAATAATTAGATCCACATCAAGTGCTTTTATGAGTTATCATGGTGTAATATTTATACATCATTTCATATAATTATAGTTTAGCAAGTAATATTTATCATCAGGTAAAATGTATATATAAAATATTACACCATGATAACTCATAAAAGCACTTGATGTGGATCTAATTATTATAGGATAACTTAGTATAAATGTTAACCATGATAATACCAAGTGAGTGAGTATGGTTTTACGCCGCTTTTAGCAATATTCCAGCAATATCACGGCGGGGGACACCAGAAATGGGCTTCACACATTGTACCCATGTCGGGAATCGAGCCCAGGTCTTCGGCTTGACGAGCGAACGCTTTAACAACTAGGCTACCCGACCGCCCCCCTGATGATACCAAGTGGGTGAGGTCCCTTTCAGAGAGTGAGTCAGTGATGCTTTTATTCCGAAAAGACATGAGTGATTGAATATGGTTTTACGCCGCTTTTAGCAATATTCCAGCAATATCACAGCAGGGGACACCAGAAATGGGCTTCACACATTGTACCCATGTCGGGAATCGAACCCAGGTCTTCGGCTTGACGAGCGAACGCTTTAACAACTAGGCTACCCGACCGCCCCCATGATGATACCAAGTGGGTGAGGTCCCTTTCAGAGAGTGAGTCAGTGATGCTTTTATTCCGAAAAGACATGAGTGATTGAGTATGGTTTTACACCGCTTTTAGCACTATTCCAGCAATATCACAGCAGGGGACACCAAAAATGGTTTTCACACATTGTATCCGGTTCTTTGGCATGAAACGAAATGATCAACATCAGTTCCATCAATCAGCCAGAATGTCCAGAAATACAAGGAATGATTGTTCACAGTCTTACTGATGGTAAGGGGGAGTGAGAAAGTCGGTTTTATCATAGGTTTCTGGCGTCCCCAAGGGACACAACTCTGCACAACAAATTGCAGGACCTGAGTGAGTGAGTGAGTCTGGTTTAACGCTGCTTTTAACAGTATTCCAGTCATATCACGGCGTGTCAGCTTAATGTGGGAGGAAAGCCCAAAGTGATGCAGGTCTCAGACATTTACCACTTCGGTGAAACACACAGGCACGGGTATGGTG